AAGCCTGCGCAAATGCAAGAGGCCAGGCATTTGGCATCCAATCAGTCGCGTTGTGCCATCCATTCCCTTCATTCATATTCGGCCGCTGCCGTGCAACAATTCCTTGGTGCAAGGCCTTTTGCCTTGACAAGGCCATGGCCTTGGCTGATGTGGCAAAAGATGAGCTTACTGATGCGTACAAGCATGCCAGTGTGTGGAGATCACCCAGATCACCCGAGGCAGAAAAACTGCCTTTTGCGGGCACTTTCCAGATGCCACGCAAGGGGGTCGCAGCAGAGGAGCCTCCATACCACTTCCTTAAAGAACTGTTTATGAGGTCGGCCACAAAGCTGATCTAAGCCTCAAGCCTTTGAGAACAGGAGGGCGAGTGGGAACATGTATGCGACCAACTAGGCCGGACAAAAAGTAATTCTGTAGCGCATTGTGCTCCCAGAGTGACTTCAAATCAGAGGCTGGCTTCGGTCGGGCTATGACAAGGCACAGCAGCAAACAAGAATACTTGAGTTGCTTCCATTTAGTCCAGTTCGTAGATTTTGTTTCTGGTTGGTTGCCAGGGCACCACGCTCAATGATGCAGCTGCAGTGGCTGCTGCCCAGTCCTGCATGATGACCTGCAACTCTGATGGGCAGGCACCAACAATCCATCATTGCATACGCTTGTTCGTCGAAACATCCACTAGATTCTGGCCAAGGACACGGATGATGAATGGAGTCTCACACTCGGGGCTGCTGCCATCCAGCCTGCACTGCAATCCTCCAGCACAATGGAGGCATCTCTACAGTGGTTGGAAATATGATTGAATGTGAACCTAGGCATAGAGAGCATCACTTTGCAACAGTTGCATGCTGCAGACTCAGTCAGTGCAGCAAAAGCTGCTAGTGAACTCTCTCATGGTGTCATCAAGGCACTCTCCAACCGCAGCCGGTCATCCAAGACACAGAGCAAACGAACTTCATTCACAGCACCTGCTGTGGCTTGGGCCTAACTGTTTGAATATAGTCTTCGCAACGCACAGGGAATTGGCCAATCGCACCATTTTGCGGATTCGTTGCACTGAGGCTGACAAGCCGGTAGCACAAGGGTGGCGCACTCAACTCCGTCATCTAGGGTGCTTTTATTCCAATGGGGTCCTGAACTTGCGGAAGGCTGCCGGTGGAAGAAGGAGATGATGCCGATGCCTTGACCGAGAGAGAGAGAGAGAGAGACAGAGAGAGACAGAGAGAGACAGAGAGGGAGGGGCATTTTTGCAGCTGGAGGTGCGAGTGATCTTGCAAGAACTCCTGGGTGATTGGGCAGGTGTCTCAGTTGCTGACAGACGTGATTCATGTTTGTAGTTTCTTGAACCATTCCACCCAAAGTGTTCTTGGCTCCTCCTATTTAGCGTTGTTGCACATGCTTTGTGTTGTCACAGGCTGCTTTCAGATTGACCAAGGACCGAGCGCATCCTGACATAAAGTTTCCCCGCAGAGGGTTTGCAGACGACGAGGCAGTGGGGCTTGCCTATGAAACCGCTTGAAACACCAGGAAAAACAGAAACCACGTTTCAACCATTGAGACAGTGCTTTGTTTCGCAGAATCGAAGTGCTGTTTGAGAATCGAAGTGCCAACCTGAGGCTTTGCTCAAGAAGGTTTCTGGGCTGGTGCCCTAGACATGGTTCCAGCGGCACTAATCCTTCTCCACTTTGCTTACCACACCCAGCCTGCAGTTAGTTAGCCCACCGTCGGTGCAGTCCGGTCTTCATTTTCAGCAGCTTCAGCACGCTGAAGAATCAGGACATCCTCGTTGAATGGGGAGCAAATCTTGTGGATGCACCCCTGACCTTTCCTCTCCCCAGAAAGGAAATAGTATGAAACAAGTTCTTGTGCAGTGACTTGCTCACCGCATGTTTTTCACTGTTTTTCTATGCAAGGCCGGCATCGGTTGCAGTCTTTGCCTCATCTACTGTGTTTGTAGACCCTTCTTACAGTAACAGCCTTGAACAAACAGTTAAGTGTGCCATTCACAAGAAGAGCGGACAAGGCAAGGGCATCTTCGCAGCAAGTCCACGTGCAATCTACACAAGTGCCACTGAGTGGCGGGCTAAGTGCATTGAGTCTTTTCTCGCCGAAGCTTAACGTTTCTCATTGGAGAGATCGGGGGGGGGCAGGGCAGCCAGAAAATCCAGTTGTAGCCAAGGCCCTTGCGTGGGAAGACCGCAACGTTCTTTCAACCAATCAGGCAAGTGCATGTAAAATAGAGTATGAAACACGGTGACCGGAGACAGACATCGCCAGGAGCACGCATAAAACAACCTACTTTCAACGTCACCACACCTGGCACTTCATTGGGGCTCGGCCTGGCCCTCAGTCAGAGTTTTTTTGATATGTTTTAGTTGCGTTACATTTACGAATTGTGTCAGGTGTTGATCTTTTGGATGTCCGTGACAATGAACCGGCAACGGTCAGCCCAAGAGCGCATTTCATGTATTGCTGAGTTTTCTTGCATTCCAGTGATATGCAACAACAGGTCACTGCATCATCTCCAGCCAAGTGCACAGAGTGTTGAGATGACCGGTGTAACAGCAGCAATGAATGTTGTTTCAGAGTTCGCATGTTTTTGTTTCTTCCGTTGAAACCATCAATCATTGGCACATGTATGACACCTGCTTATCTGATTTTTGTGTGATTCTACGACCAAGTCACCTGCCAAGGTGCACAAATTGGTGGAACCACCGCATTTGCTTCAAACTGTTCGGGCCTTCTCCAGCATTGAACCCCTGTGCTGAATAGTTTTTTCAGCTAAGGCCGCTCTCGCTCACAGCGACGATCGATATGATGAGGCCAATAAAAGTTTTACAGCCGGCACGGAGGCACAAGATGTTTTGGACGCCTTGCATTTGTCTCACTTGCTTAGGAGGATGGAGATGGACTGTGGTTCCTGGTGGCCTTCTAAGTCAAATTGGGGGTCATTTTTTGCATTGTTGTTGTGGTTGAAACAATGACCCCTCTGGGTTCTACAATACTAAGCTCAAGCACAAGCCAAAGAGTTTGTCACCCTATCAGACTAAGACATGCGCATTTACCTCTTTGCTACACTTGCATTTTGTATCACAGCTCTTGCTCATTGAGATGCAGGGTCAAAGAAGAGTTGACTCAGTGTTCCACTAGCTACCTCACTGCCATTCACTGCTATAGCTGCTTTAGATAGCCGGACTCTGGTGAAAGCAATGGAGACGTGCCTATGTTGCCATGTCAACACCGGATTTGTCGTTGTTGCCACTGAAGCCGGGTGACCAACTTTGGCGCCGGCTTTCAGATGGCATCTTGGTTGCAGCAAGACTCAACGTCATAGCTGTGGGTCAAAACTTGGCGCCAAAGGCAGGTGGGACGTTCACTCTGACAGCAGGGAGTTTTGACCTACACCTATATTATTCAATTGTTCAGATCCAGACCAGCAGTGAACACAGACAAGATCTCAGGAACTTGTTGGCACGCGTTGTCTTCTCCTCGGAGTTGTGAGAGTGTTAATTTGCAGACAGTTTCTCAGCAGGGGAGCAAGCTTCGGTCTTCCCCTAATTGATACTTGCCACGTCCCGATGTTGATTGAATGTTTGCTCACTTTGGTTCTTTTCTAGGATCTTGACACATTCCAAGGTACGTAGGGCAATTCCTCCTGGTCTTTGCAGAAGATGGGGTTACATTGACGCTTCAACCAGCACAAGGTGAAATTCTGCCACCGCCACTTGGTCCAGGCAATCTCACATCAAAAGTTGAGGTGTGTGGTTTTCACTTGTTGAGGTGCGTGGTGGCAGTGCAAGCATCGGAAGCTGGTGGTGCAGTGACACGGATTCTTGGTTGCAAGAGGCAATCAATTCGAGGCTTTGAGGATGGAATACAAGCAATCATCTCAGTTTGCGGTGCACAGGATACCTTTGACGGAATTCGTTGATCCTTCTTGCGGGCCAGGTGGGATCAACGGAATGTGCATTAATTCTCAACACGTGTTGCTGTCCAGGCGATGCCAAGGAAACGGAGGAGTGCACAAGCCCAACAAGGGTGGGCTTCTCAGCAAACAAGGTCAACTTACAACTTGTAACCAGTCATCGGCCGGGTGCAGGTCTCGGCAGCAGACATTGCCGGGAAGCTCAAGTCACACATGTCCTAATTTGTTTAGCTATTAGGGGGGAGGCCATCGCTAGTAGGTTGGAGGCCATTGCTATGATGTTGGAGGCCATCGCTAATAGAAACAACAAAAGAATAGGAAGAAATCCAAACACTAGAATGGTCACACACGTTTTGGTGGTGAAAAGACAACGGTCACACTGAGTCTGTGCGGCTTTATGCGAGAAGACCTCGCGGAAGACGTGCCGCCGTTGCGCGGGCTTTGACTGCCATTGGCACACAGGCAGAACTACGACCTTCGCTCGCAGTAGTGAGAGCAAAACATCAAGCTGAATGCCGCCAGGTGGATAGAGGAGCACTACTCGGATTGTGGGGCCCTTGTGGAGTTCGGAGGAAGATTGGAAGGAAGTTGCCACGTAAGTTGGGTGGATGCACAGCAACACCTTGATTTGTAACTGCATCACAAATCAGGCTTTGCATGTGCAAACCAACACTTCCTTTAACATGGATTTGAAACTCTGTGAAATTTATTCCGCCTGAGGCCAGAACTGCTGCCGTGGTGGGCCATCTTCGACGAAAGCAACGACTTCCAGCCTGGACTTTGTGCATCTCGCAGTAGAGCAGTGCGCTACCGCCTTTCTCCCAAGGTGCCTTTATTCACTCAATTTCAGTCTCAAGTGACTCAAGTCCATGTTCAACATGTTTGAGCGAGTTGGTACTTTGATCAGCTTTGCCATGCTTTGTGTGCAGATTTGGATCCTGAACCAAGAACATTGTCAATAAATTGCACAAGGTTGTCCTACACAACAAAGCTTACGACAGGATATACAGAATACATACAACAAATTAGGACCGGATCGTTGCTTCCACACACAGCAAGCCAACGTTTAAATGTTTGGCCAGTACCCTGCTGCAGACAAACTTTTCTTTTGGGATGGGCGGCCCGATGGCGACAGAGCAACCTTGAACATCCTTGAAGATCCTCTTGTTGGTTTCCCATTATCTCCCATGGCGTGCGGCACAGCTGCACTTGATTTACTTGCTTTGCTGGCAGAAATTGGTGACAACGGAGATGGATTGTAAGCCGAGGTGCCAAGTCGGGGACCGATGATTCACCCCTGGAGCCAAGGCAAACTATCTCAGAAAGTGCAAAATAAGATGATTCGTGCAAAATGCTGTGCATTGCAAGCTGGTTTCCAAGCTGTTTCCCTCAATCTGCTTGTGGGCAGAACCTGAAGAATTCTAGGAGAATATCACGTTCTGGCTATTTATGCAGTGCCGACCTGGATGACTCTTGGAGCATGTTGCCGAAGCGTCTGTCCTTTTTCAGACCCATACTACATCAAGAACCCCCTTTGGGAGACCTAAAAAGGCCCCTTTGAATGGGCAAAAAAAACAATTCGCTTTGATTCGCTTTGTGTTTCGTTTTGACGTGAAAGTCTTGTCTTGGACTTCGCAGACTGCGAGTTCGACTGCGTTCACACAGTGATTTCCTGCTGGACCGGTGCTGGTTCCGTCAGGAGCTTCACCCGCATATGATGTATGGAGCATTGATGTCATCACTGGAATCTCTTCGACAGTCCATTCGGGATGTTTTTCCTGCTGTTGTGTCCCTTGTCTCCGAGCGGATATACTTGGAGGGCTTCGGCTTTGGCATTCGGTTGTCTTTCGAAAGAGATCTCTCAGAATTCATGCACCCACGAGACACACATGACACTGATGACACTCGACTCCAGGTCAGCCAGATTGGTGGCAGTGGTGCTGCTGCTGCCAGTACTTAAATCGCATTTCAACGGTGATGTTCTGGAAATCATGTCTGTTTCATTGCAGGAAAGCTTGGATAGAAAAGTATAGAACACAATATAGTATAGTCACAATGATCACAATGCTGACGGACAATCACACAGGGGCGATTAAGGTGTTATTTCTCATCTTTCCTGTGGTGGTCGTTGAGCGATTTCTTGAGATCACCGGCGTGTTGTTTGTATCTCAACTGCAGATAAATATGTTGTCCTTAAGCTTAGCAGCTTGAAAAAGAAGAAGCTAAGGGCCCCTGTAACTCATTTCGTGTTTCTTCTTCAACAACTTCCCGCACTACACACCCTTTGTTTGACACGTGAAAATATTCTTGCTGAGCACCTTGCAAGTTCGGGAGGTGCTTCGTCACGTCTCCCAAGTTGTGATAGAAAGCGAAACTGAGAGTTTCGAGGTCCTGGCAGAGGCGTCATTCCTGGTTTGGCTCCACAGCCTGCGAAGCCGTTTGAACGTCGTGAAGCCGATTGCGCAAAGGTTGCAACCGGCCAAGTCTTTCGCTTCTTGGTTTGTCTTGTCACTGGCCAATAGATACATTCTACTGTAGGCGTTTTTTTCCGCAAATGTCACTAATGGACTAGCTGACTAGCAGCTGACTACCAGTGGTGCTTTCTCAGAGGTGCCTTGTGCAAGTTCAACACACTGAAGCTTTGCAGCAACCTAGGATATTTTCCAGCGAACCTTCAAGCAAGTGGATCAGTGTGCGAAGTGGTCGATTGGTCGAACGCCGACGGACAGCTGCTTCTATCAACAGTTGAAGCAAAGTCAAATGGATTTCACAATGTACTCGTACGGTAGGAGCAAGATGGGGCAAGCCTTTCCGGAAACAAAAGATAGATAGAAAGGGAGAGGAAAGACGGAGGGAGTAACAGGCACTTACAGATCTTGCAGTTAGACTTGGCAGGAGTGGCTTGAAGGTTGGTTCAAGAAGACGCCTATGTCAAAGATAAAGCGTGGAAACTTGGAAGAGCTCCGCAGCTGCACTTGTGAGAATCACCGCTGCCGAGTGTGAATCAAGCAGAGAGAACCATACAGTCTTATGGACTATTTGTATACTTGTGAAACTTGTGACATCGGTCGATCCATGCTGAGTCCCGAAACCTCTGTTGCCGTCCCGGCCCAATCATAGGGGCCGTATCTTACCCCAAAGCCATGCCGTCTTTTTGCAGGAAAAGGTTGTGAGGCGGCCGTGCGATCCACGTGTTCTACAGTGGTAGCGCGGAGCCCTCGGTTCCATCCAGGGCAAAGCTGAGGCCATGAGCGGGGATGAAGGCGGTCGCCAAGGAGAGCGACGGTTTGCAGCTGCCAGCACGGCAGCAGCCAGGGCGGACTACATTCCACGAGACCGTGATCCACCACCTACCTACGACGGAGAGAATCCTGAAACCACCTTCCGACAGTTCGAGAAGCAAGTCCAGCTTTGGCTGTTTGAGACGGAGGTCCCGGAGACCAAGCGCGGCGTCAAGCTCCTGAGACAGCTCACAGGAGTAGCCGCGACAGCGGTCGACGACATGGAGGTCAGCGAGATCGTCCAGGAGCAGGGCGTGAAGAACATCATGCAGAAGTTGAGAGAATACTTCACACCACATCTTGAAGTATCCCTGCCGCGGGCCTTCGAGACCGCGGTCTACGGGACGCCTAAGCAGTCCAAGGAGACCTTTGCAGAGTACGCCAAACGAATGGAGCGGGCATTCACGAATTTGGCCAAGGAGGGTGTGGACTTGCCGGCTGACGCCAGGGGCTACATCCTCTATCGTCAGGCCTCCTTGACGGAAGCTCAGGACCAGAAGTTGCTGACCTGGACGCAAGGCAAATACAGCCGAGCTGAGGTGACCAGTGCACTCCATCGCTTGGACAAGGTGGTGAGAGACAAGGCCAAGAGCAGCTTCCAGGTCGAAGGGACCTATTTGACTGAGGACGCCATGGGTGACCACTACAACGGCGAGGAGATCTATTACACGATCCCGGACGAGGACGATGAGAACTTCGTGTACATCGCGGAGGGTGATCTGGACCACGTCCTGGAAGAGTCTGAGGTTATGGAAGCCTTGGCCTCATATCAGGAGGTTCGGCAGCAGCTCAAAGACCAGCGCCTCAATCGAGGATACTTTCCCGGGAAGGGAAAAGGGAAGCCGAACTACCCCGCCAAGGGCAAAGACAAAGGAGGCGGCAAGAGGAAGATCCACATAGAGCAGTTGAAGCTTCGCACCAGGTGCCGGCGTTGCGGCCAGGTGGGACACTGGGAAAAGGAGTGTCAGACGAAGCCCAAAGATGACAATCGAGCCTTCTTTGTCCGCATCGACGAGGAGAACACGGCAGCGGCTGAGAGCGGCACCCACTTTTGGTTTCAGCAGGAAGCCTCTGAACGTCAGGCCGAATGCGGCACTGACGGGGTTTTTGATGATGCTGAGCGCTCCGATGTTGGGGCATACATGGAGCGGCAGCCTGGGGCTATCACGTTTTGTGGGATTTCAACACAACCGCATCATGGGGTTGTGGACACTGCGGCCGAGGGTGGTTTGGTAGGCACCGGTCCCCTCAAGAACATCGAGGTCGAACTGGCACGGCATGCTTTGAAGGTTCGATGGATCCCCAAGAAGTCGCAAGCTAAAGGAGTCGGAGGGGCAGCCACGGTGGAGGGCACGGTTCTTATTCCCATTGGGATTGCAGGGGTGAATGGAATCTTAGAGTGCACTGTGGTTCAGGGAGATGCCCTCGAGTCGTTGATCGATTTGAAACGTGGAACAATGACACTTCAGTCGCATGGTCGAATTGTGGATCTTCATCAACTACCTAGTGGCCATGTCACGATCGATGTGTTTCAGTTTGCATCAGGGAAGTTCGTCGTTCCGGACGATGCCGGTTGTCAAGAAGATTTTGAGACTCGGAAACCATCATGTTTTGTGGCAGCAATGTCGGCTCGAAGGAGCCACACGCAATTCGACCCAAAGACCGACGTCATCTCACCAGCTACCCATGTCGGCGCTGTTGGCGAAAGCAAAGCAACTGGTGGGAGTGCAACCGACTCAAGATGCCGTGCCCATGGAGGTGCATCCGAAGGTGTACAACTCAAAGGTACCCATTCGGAACTGGCGAGTCGTCATGGACAAGATCGCGGTGATCCTCATCCTTGCAGCAATGCAGGACGCCACCGAAGCCTGGTGCTTGGAGTTGGGATCACAGCGCTTGGGCCCATCCTCTGCCGACAGCCTGGAGGACTACTACTCGGAGGTGATCCGCACCGCCAAGCCATTGGCGCCTTTGAAGAGCAAAGAGGCCCCCAGGACTGCGATCAGCGCATGTATGCACCCCAAGAATCAACTTCGTGGGGGAGGCAATGGCTCAGCCTCGTACATCGTGCGCCGGCAGTGCCATTCCAGGTGGGCCCACAACCAAAAGGCGGCAGATGTCCGCAAGCTGCTGAAGCAAGGCCCCTTGAGCATCACCCAGGGAACTACTATTCCGACTACTCCATCGGCACCGTCGACTCCTCCGAGGGCAACCATGCCTATGCCTGCGAGTCCACCGATGAGAACCGGCGCGATGGAGGCTCACGGGATCTACCAACAGCTGATCCCCTATTCTCCGGGAAGTCCAAGTCAGGAGCAGATCAACCAGCTGCAGGAGAGCCTCAAGAGCCAAATGGAGGGACAAGCAGCATTCCTGATGCACCAGATGAGGAACGAGCAAGCCGCATCGGTCATCAAGATGTCCGAGATGAACATGACGCAGATGCACCAGTTCAGCGAGGAGATGAAGAAGGCAGCTCAGGCCAGTCGAGAGCAGGAGCTACGTCAAGAGAAGCTCACGCAGATGTTGGTGCAGATGAAGGAGGAGCAAGCCAAGGCGGACCCAGCGGCAAGTTCAAGAGCAATGCCACCTCCAGCGGCCATCCCTACGTGCAAGTGCGGGAAGCCCGCGGAACGACTGCAAGTGAAGAAGGAAGAGCCCCCAAGGAAGGGCCGATGGTTCTGGAAGTGCATGCAGCGCAAGTGCGATTACTTCGAGTGGGAGATGGAGGAAGTCGACCTGCTCAGCGAGACCACCAAGACTGCGGGATCCAAGAACCCTCGGATCCAAGAACCCTCGGAGGTCCAAGAGCCCACGGAGGGATCTGATGTCCAGCGGGCCAGTTCCACCAATGCCGGGAACCCAGGCGCTCACTACGGTTCCATGCGACAGCTGGACGAGGGTCACGGGCAGAGACTCCGTGATCAATGTCGACCAGGAGGAGGAACTATGAGCTGGACTACCTGTAGTACCCCGAAGGGCATTCGATGGGCCCGGAAGGCCCAAAAAGGACAGCATCACTTCCTGACGGCGGATGAAGAGTACATGATTCGGGATCCCAAGACCGGCAACTGGGCAAAGAAGAAGGGAGTAATCCCGAAGGATGCTGCTGAAGTACAAGTTCGACTAAGCCTCACCCGTCGAGGACATCATGAGGACCTATGGGATGAGTTCAAGACGGCGGGATACTCACGAAAAGACCGCCAAAGGTTGCAGAGGGCCATGAAGGAGCTGGACATCCACTTTGGCAAGATCAGTGAACTGTACAGCCCACCTCGTATTAGTCCAGAGGCAGCCAAGCGAGGCATGGAGGCAGGCACATGTTTCGACCTCCAGACCGGCTGGGACCTTAGTCGAGAAGAAGATCGACGTCAGATGTGGAAGATCTTGCGAGAAGAGAAGCCCGACGTGATCATCGTCTGTCCACCATGCACTGCCTTCAGCCGAATGCAAGCCCTAAATAGGGGCCGAAGAGATGAGAAGAAGGCCCTACAGGTGCTCCACACTGGTCGGGAACATCTCCGACTAGCCGTGGCAGTCATCCGCTGGCAGTTAAAGCAAGGAAGAAGCATCGTGTTTGAACATCCATCCACGGCAACTTCATGGGGAGAAGCCGAACTACAAGAGCTGCTGATCCGTCAAGACTTGCATCAGATCGACAGCCACATGTGCGCCTTCGGCATGAACGTGACCGGCAACGGCCTGAACTTGAAGCCGACTCGGTGGCTGACAGACATGGAGGAGGTGGCTCAACGCCTCAACCGAAGATGCGATGGCACGCACAGACATGAAGCACTGGAAGGAGGCAACAAAACACGACTTGCACAGGTTTACCCTCCAGAACTGTGCCGGCAGCTCGCAAAGGGGATAAAGGAACATCTGAAGAAGAAGCTTCCCCAGACACACTACATCCTCGAGGCGCTTGCTGAAGAGGAGTCCGAGGCAGAAGAGATCGAAGATGAAGACAACTCCGGCGAAGCGGAGGAGGAGTACCAGGTGAGTGAAGAAGAGAAGAAGATGATCTTGAAGGTGCACCGGGCAGTGGGCCATCCTCAACGGCCCGAGTTCATCAGATTTTTGAGGGCAGCCAGAGTGAAAGGAGAAATCATCCGATGGGCTGCCAAGGAATTCAAGTGCGATGTGTGCGAAGCCAAAGCTCACCCAAAGGCGGCGCGGCCAACTACGCTGCCTCGTTCGTTCCAACCCGGCAGGGTGCTTGGACTCGACCTCTTCTACATCGCAGCTCCAGGCGGCGGCAGGCTGACTACGCCAGTCTTGAACATGGTCGACTGGGGCACCAACTACCAGATGTGTGAACTGCTGAGCTCAAAGGGTCCCGAGGAGATTTGGGACGCATTCATGTCCACATGGGCCAGGACATTCGGTCAACCTGAAGTCATTGTCTGCGACGCTGGCCGCGAATTCATGGGGCACTTCATTCAACGGGCGACAGCTGAGGGCATCGTGGTGCACCAGATAGCTGCCAAGGCTCCCTGGCAAGCAGGGAAAACGGAGCGACATGGAGGCCACTTCAAGGAGCTGCTGGACAAAGCTAGATCTGAGACGGTGGTGCAAGATGAAAGAGACCTTCGACGCCTGATCATGGAGGTGGAGCAGGCCAAGAACAGATACTCCAATCGAAGCGGCTTTGCCCCAATTCAAAGGCAGATCGGACAGTG